TGTGTGGACAAACTTTCGGCACCAGGTTTCCCTGCTTGCCACCACTTGTGGCCTTGAGCTGTTGATCATCTCGAGCTACACCTTCGCACCAGGCCTGAAGTGGCGCTGGCCCAAAGCTCCACGTCATAAATGAAATCCGCAGAATCCCAAAGAAATGTTATATATTGGGTCTATCCTAATACCAGTAACAGTGGATGATGATGGTTAGTCGGTTTGTAGAGGCCTTTCTCTCAAATAGTGACAATTGTCTACTGACTGTTACAGGTAAGAGGACAAACACAAGTTATACACAGTAATTAATGAGTTAATGTGGATGTTGCTTCTGGTGGCGGCTTGAGAGGCGCAAAACCAAAAGGGAAAGCAATTGTTTCAGTGGCTCAGAGATTGCAGCTGCGCCCTTTCAAGTTGATAGTGACCGATCCTGTATGTATCAGGCCCCTTACAAGGGCCTGCAGGTAGGATAGGGTGATTGGTCAGCTTGGCAAATGGCCTTTTTTCACATCACCCAACGCCTCAAAATTCCAACTCTCCAATCCCAGAGTGGAAGCAATTGTAGATAATCCACGCTTCTACCCGGGAAAACCACCAACAGCCACATGCGATGCAAATTGTTGAGAGGCCGGTGGTGGCCACCGCTTCGGCAATGTCCAACTCCTTAAGCTATCTGCAAACACGACTGGTTACTTTGTCGGAGATTGGGGCATTGGGTTGGGTGTTCGTTCATTGTGCTTGGGGAATGTCTGCAAGGGTTCACAAAGCTAGGATTGTTTCCGTCTCCGTCAACCTGGAATAGTGCCCCGGGTAGTGGTGCTGTGTCTTGTTCAGATCAAGAATCTTCAGCTGCGGCAAAAGCGGGTTTTAAAATGAACACGGCCTGCGCGGAGTTGCGAAAAAGCAGTCAGGAACGTGCGGCATTGACCGCCATGTTGCTTATTCCTTTCTTGGATGTTTGTGCGTGTGCTTTTCTTGGGCCCTCCCACCGGAGAATTTTTACTGCTGGGACATCCAAGGTCCAAAGCCACAAGACCGCCTGGAAAAAGTGGTTTGCGCAAACGGATGGTCATGAGAGCACAACATCTTGGACAGTATTTGGCCCTGTCCAAGCTGAAGACGGTGTGATCAAGGCAGTCTTGAGCGTTTTCCAAATTGAGGAAAAGAAGAACATTCTACAAAGCTGGTCAGCCCACTCAGCAACTTCCAGCACTGAGGCGTTTTATGCCCCGGAATCCTGTAACCAAGGAAGCCATTGCCATTGCAGTTTCCTTTCCTGTGCTTTCCCAGGATTTAGCGCAGTTGCCCACAGAAGATTGCAGCCACACTACTGTAATCACCAGCCATATTGATGCTTCTTTGAGAACCGCATCAAAAATAGCAGTCTCAGGACTGACATGTTCACCTGCTCACAAAGGGCTTTTAGTTTTGACTCACCCGATGGCCAGGACCTAAGACCTCGGATATCTGTGACCATAGTGTGTCTCTTAAGGTGTGACCATTCTTTAACATGTAATTCTTCAACCTTTAGAACTTTAGAACAATGACTGTCCTACCAGGCATTCATGCAACCAGTCAAAAAAGTGACCCATGAGCAAACACACAAGCATAGCCCAACGTGAAGTCAGCAAAGGATCCAACGCATCCTTTCTTGCCATGCGATATCTAACAATGTTTATCAACAGAATACAGTAGATGACTTTTAGAAAAAATGCATCATCAGCATCTATCATCTGCAAAAGCACAAAGCGCGGCACGTACATTTAAAAAAGAAGAACTACATGAAAAAAGACCAACACAATGAAACAATCAAACAAACATCTTGCCGTGTTCGGGCCTTGCAACTGGTTATGCTTGGCACTGCTGGACATGGTAGGCTTCCAGAAGTGCCAGTACCAGCCTCGGCTTGTTCAGGCGGGATCCCACGAGCAAATGAATTTGATGTCCCCTCCATGGTTTGATGTCCCAGGCGTTGCATGTGTCACCCTGAATTATATATGTTTCAAAGACCTTGATATATCTCATCAGGTGGTCTACAGATTTCTTCAGCCAAGTTGCTCCTTGTGTCCTAGCTTGAGACGCCTGGCCACACCAGGCACAAGGCTGATTGGCACAAGGCACCATTCAAGTGGTGTTCTTGGTATGAAGGCTTGGGAGTACTGTGGTTTGAATCGAAATTACCTTGTGCTTGAATCGAGATTAGGATTAGGATTACCTTGGTATGAAGTTCATGGATCGAATCGAAACTTCCCCATATTTCCCCATTCTTCTCAATTTGTTCAATTTCGTTGGATATGGAATAAATAATGCGGGTTTTGACGAGAAGAACAATGCAGAAGAATGGCAATCGATGGGGATGAGCCCCGTAGGTTTCCCGTGCTTGCTAGATTTCAGAAAACGACGTCCACCTTTCTCTCAAAGAGTCTTACATGGGAGGATGCAATGACACAAAATAGACACGAACAAACAAATCTGCGGCCGTGTGAAGACAGGAGTGCACAAAGTGTAGTAATTAGATTAAGTTACAGGTCCAAACAGGATCCAACTACTCTAACTCAAATGAGGCAATCAGGCCAACCATGGTGTCCTCGATAAAGGTGTGTAAGTGATTCATATACTCTGACCCGCAGGCTTTGCCTGCTGCCCTAACCTCGTCACCTGCGTGAGGCTGCGGCACAAATCTCAAGAACCGGCAACTCAACTCGCTAGCAGCCTAACGAAAAAATCAACAGAAACGATCACAGCTTCCCAGCACCGCCCTCACATCTGCCTACCGTACCCGAACGGAAACGCACTGAGTCAAGCTGTGGAGCCTCAGCGGAGGACACAAAACGACGCACTGCCCGGGTACCTTAGTGCACGTAGCAAAGAAGGAAAGTGTTGCCGGGGCATCGCCTCTGAATACTACCCGACAACAAACCTGTTTGATGTTAAGCGAACTTTGGGCTTGGCACCCAACATCTTGGGAACCAGGAAGTAGGACTCAAAATGCTGCAAGAATATACAGGAAGAAAGGCAAGCCTGCTTCATAGTTGTTTCATGTTGCTTTTACGTTGTAGATTGTACATCCGGTGCTGGGTCATTAATAGATCCATCAATCCTACGTCTCGACACATGCAGCCTCATCATGCTTGGAGTCCAACTGCCATCTGCTGAAAGCAGCAAGCCCAGGTCCCCAACCTGACAAACAGAAGAGGTGTAAAGGCCTTGAAAGTGCCTGTCAGGTTCAGGGTGGCTGGAAGGTATAAGCAGCAACAACAACAACAGCATGGACAGTAACCTCAAACTCAAACATGTGTGGCCCAGTATCTCGTTTCTTACTTTCAGATTTCAGGAGAACACATGAGATGAGAACCCTTGACTTCTGTGGCAACGCTCCTTTATAGATTGCCTTTTTGAAGTGGAAGTTGGGAAGTGCGATGCAGTCGATCTTCCGAAACCTCACTAAGGCCTTCGAGATGCTCAGGGAAGAAGGAAAGAAGTTCTGGGAAGGAGGGATTGTCCAACATCCAGCAGGTCCATAAGCTACTAGGAGCAAAGGGCATCGCTACTAGGAGCAAGAACTAGGGGCTCCTGGCCGTACTACTAGGAACAATGTTCGCTACGATGCTTACCGGCTTGTCGATTCGTGACTGCCCTCCCACCTGTACCAGCGTGTATCCGTTGCGTGAGTTGATCATCTCTGTGGTGAGCTCCTTGTGCGAGGCACAGCCACAAGGAGCTCGGTGGTTGTGTATCTCTATTGATGAGATGTGCTTATCATCGTTAAGCTATTCATGTGGGCAGCATGCTACGTACATTCGACACGGCTCTTCGTTCAGTTGGCGTTCTTCTGTCTGAACAACATTCGAAACGTTTGACACCTTCCACGCCACCAAGCTCTTTCTCAAGTACAGCTTGCCTTGCCACGGCTTTTGGCATCCATGCTGTCATCAAAGACCCAAACCCCAGAGATGCCAGGCGCTGAAGAGGCCTGCCACACAAATATCTTCAGTGAAGCTTCATAGCTCTGTCGCCCTAGAGACTCCAAAAGGATTGCTGATAAGAGAAGGCGAGCTCTTTAAGGACCCTCATAAGGATGTATGCCAACCATTGAAATGCAATAATTAGCCTATTCAGGCCTATTCCATAGAACCCATTGTCACAGAAAAGAAAGGTTGCATCAAACAGCCAATGGTGCGAGCGGAGCCCCAAGGCATCAGAAAGGCATCCGACTGACGCGGTTTGGTCGACGCTTTTTCCACAAGAGATGCGCTGCCCCCGCTCCTAGCTAGGCTAGCTGGGGAAGCTTTCGTTTACAGGGAAGGTCTGCTTGATTCATTTCTGGAAGAACAAGCTGCAGGACGCAGCCATCACAAAGGTGGCTTGGAGTATCTGAGAAATCCTTCAGTTTGGGGGTGTTTGATGTTTGTGCAGGCAGCCAATGTATTTTGTTGGATCCAGAAATTCCTCGCAGCCTAAAGCGGCACTTGTACAACGTTTCTTTGGCTGCAGAGATGCAGCTGGGTACCACGTGGACACTGAGTTTTCTCAGCAAAAAAGATCGTAAAGGCCTCAGGAGACCTGTTGCGGCAGCCTTCACACCAGGAAGCTCCGGAATTGCCGACCGCCTCGGAATTTTAAGTCCAGATGTAGAGTCAGAGATTTGGATATATTTGGAGGAAGTGTCATGGCAGGACAGGTGGACAGGAATGGGCAGGCAAAGTTCCACCAGCCGTCCACCTTCTGCCTGGAAAGCTGAAAACATATCTATATGAAATGATAGGTGCTTGGTAATATATACATCATGTATGTATACACAATTATATTACCCTCCCGCAACAAACATAGAAGTGGACAACCCCCTGTTTGTGGAGGAAAACGGTCTTCCATTCCAGGGGCCTATTTTCCACTTTCTTCCACGATTGTTTCAGGGAGTGTATATACAAGTGACAGGGGATCATTTTGGTGCCTCTAAGAAGGTCTTCATGATTCGACTCCCACAAGGGTCTACCCGAGCAAGGGGAGCATCAGAGCGTTCCCCCCCATGATGGCAAGCAGCAAATCGTGTGCATCAGCTCGGTCCAGTATTTCAGGCCCTCTGCTTCTGCCTGCAGCAGCACAAATGGTTCAGATGTCATGAGCGAAAAACCGCACCAACAGCTGCAGAGTTGGACTATATGAGTGTCGTGAATACGCACCTAAGTGGTATCGGCTGACTGACTTGACCCAACAGTAGATGGATCAACATCGAGCCGTGAAACCACATGATACCTGTATCTCTTCATGCTCGACTCCTTTCAAGAAGCGAGCATGTCTCAGTCGCCAGGCCTTCGGCACCTCCAAAGTGTAGATCTCGGTGGTCGCCGTATCATTAAAAAAGCATGAAGCTGACAAACACCACAAGTGGCGTGTCGTGGCAAGAGTTGAGTGACGGAACACACAAGCGTGCGCTGAGTGCGGGGGGCGCTGATTTCAGGCACGTGCGACGAACTCAGCTCAAAAGGCCAAATTCGAGGTAAGGTTCTTGGGGGGCATATCATGTTACGGTGATTTTTGATTTGTTTGGCTATCTGGCTGCTCTTGCCCTTTGTTGTAGCTATATTGCACGCGATTCTCGGACTGCGGTATGAAAACCTAGGGTGTCTGAGGTATTGGTAACCGCGCAATTTCTCCAGTCGTCTCTAGTTTCCGAGCCCACTGCAAAGTAAATATGTCATTGAATCGAGCCTAGCAATCGACTGTCTATGGGTGATTGTCATTGTCGTCCAAAAATTTGCCTGCTCGGTTCATGATGATTTGCTTTGCCAATTGTTTCCCCAAATCATACATGGACAACTACGGTGACTAACTAACGAACGAGTGCGAACTAGTGTAACATCAACTACAGTAACCAGGTTTTGAAATCATACTGGACACAAAAGTACTGTAACAGTAACATCAACTAACTATTGTGACCAGGTTTTGAAATCGCTTTGCACCCTAAACAAGGCCTCGCGAGACTATCCGAGACTCAATGGGGAAATCCTCGGCCTTCGGGGAGCCCACGATTGCCTGGAGAAACAGGTCTGGCTTGATTCACAAGGAATGGTGTATATCAAACACTCCAAATATGTTCAAATCAGATGGTCCAAATGAAATATTATGAAATACAAGTCACCTCAAGAACTGCTTGTCTATTGAAACAGGGAGGCTCGAGCGGTTTGAGGGCTCCCTCTTTCTGGTCATACACATCCAATTGCCCAAATCGCAGGATGAAGAGCTAGAGAGCTTGCTCCACCACCCTTTTCACGGAACAACTTACTTGTTGTTTGAGCAAATCGAGAGATGTAGCAATGTAGCAACCCACGTTTTGACAAAGGCACGGTGTTGACAAAGGTCGGTGTGGAGAAACATCCACGAACGAAACGAGACAACGGTCGTCTCGGCTCGGTCTCGTTGCTTCCTCTCGCCTCTAAGTTGGCGTGCTCAGGCTTTCCAATGGGCAGGTCAAAAGTCTCCTCCCAGACCTGCGGAGTCCGCGGATGCCCCAAGTAGTGCTCAGCTGTTTGGCGGAACATGAGCGATGGAATTTATTTCCGTTAAATTAGCACATGGACCTTCCTTACCTCGTTCTCCAATCCGGCATCGTTTTTGGTGTGTGATCTCGTTCTCCATTCCTGTATCTCGTTTTGGTGTGTGGATACCCATCTCGTTCTCGAGAGGTGTTCCTACCTCGTTTCACAAGCTAAACATGTCATTAACCAAACCATTTCAAACGAATGGCGCATTTGATGCCCATCTCGTTCTCGGGGTGTTCCTACCTCGCTTCGCCAACTAAATCTGACATTGGGCTATAGAAAAGGAACGCCCCTAGACTAATCTTCACTACCGCAAATAAAAGCCGTTGCTCACATGAGCCTGGTTGCAAGGTAACCCATGTATGATGGATGGTTGAAACCCCTTTCTGGAGCTGTTATACAATAGACGTTTTGAGAACAATCATTCCTGGCATGATAAAATGTCGAAATGATTCAATGTATGGCCCTTAACAACTGTTTCCACCAGATTCAATAGCCCAAGGACTGGAAGAAAAACAAACAGCGAATTGCCAGCTGAGAAACAGGATCCAAGTTCTTGACTTTCACAGTGGATCCTAGGATGCATCGCGCAAACAGCTATCAAGTAGCCGCCCAGCAACTCGTGCCGCGTGCAAAAGCAAGCGGAACCCTGGACCTGCTGGTGCTTTAGAGGCCCACATCTGATGGCCACCACACCGACACCCCAGCCGTTCAGTTCTTCAGGGCCCAAAGATTCTTTTGACAGAACTTAAGGCTTAAGTGTCCGGATTGGTAAAAAACCTTCAAAAGCCACTCATTCCTGAAAGGCACTGAGTTCAAACAGCGATTTACAATGATTTACAACGCCTCCATTGGCATACGCCTCCATTCCCCTCCACACTCGTTGGATTCTCCCACCTAAAAGCCATCTACAACGCTTTCTTCATGCCTCGAAGCTACGCTGCACACAGCGGTAGCTCTCCTCGGTGCTAAAGGCGAAGACTTTGACGAAGGGGTCGGAGGAGCCACTCAAAGGCCACACCGAGGTGTCACACCTCAGCAGCGGGAACCAACCCCCGTCGTGGGATCGTGGGATCGCGGATCGCGCGACTTCGCGCGACTTCAGAGCCACGAAGTCTTGTGAAGTCCAAAGAAACCCAGAAGTCGCTTGCACACTTCGGAGGTGAAGTTTCTGAAGTGTCCCTCAATTGCATGAGGGTTCTTCTATGTTCTTCTGCCTCCCAAGCCCATAGTAGCGTCCTTAAGCTGCGACAGCTCCTCTTCTTACCTTCCTCCTGGCCCCTTCCTAAGTCGTCATGGCCTACTGCTCCACCCAGCAAAATTAAGTGTTTAGCAAATGTTAGCAATATTGTTTAGCTATAACGGTAACAACAAACAAAGTGACAACGTGTAAGTTGTGAATGGATGGTGGATGAGTCCAAGAGAGCCTGAAGAACAACTGAGGCTGCCTGAGGCTCCCCACACTGGCAACTTCTCTGCGCGAATGATCCGCACGCTCCAAGCCCCTTGCAAGCGACTTGCGGCGTGAAACCTGGCAAGCAAGCTTTGGGGGATGTGGAGAATGCTTTCTCATTGGCACATTCGTAGGACACTAGAATGGCATGCACCATGTTAGTCTGGCCAGCATGGCTTGGCTTTTCGGTAGTAGTACTGTCACATATATGCAGCCATCAACAGCAGACTGCCCTACAAGAACATCTCTCCAATCCAAGGCAATGATATTGATTGCAAAAAGATGAGCTTTGAAGAGCTAGGTAGCTAGGTTTGCATCTCGCCCACGAGTTGCCGGCTGAGCTTGCTGAAGAAATCTCTAGCGAGCCTTCTCCAAGAAATGGAGTAGGTGATGGTAGCTTCTCCCTCCTCCAGGGCGTGCATCTCTGAAACCACGCTGGACCCTATGACTGGAACCTTTTCTAATCTGTAGTTCTATGTACAGTAGATCTTGCCGCTGGCATTCTACGGCCGCTTGCCCTCACGGGCTATCAAAAGCCAGTTGACTTCACCACAATAGCTGCTGTAAGTTGTAAGAACTGTTGCAAAGCTTTCCGGTAATTACCCTTGCTAGCTGCATTGTGGGCAAATATCTAAGCTCGGTTCACACAGGCTTTGAAGTTGCTCAAGGGGACTTGCTAGGTCTGCAAAGCCCAGTCCACAGCACTTCTCCCAGTGTTAAACGGGCTGCCTTGCCGACGACCGGGGCACCATCTGCCGTGAGCAGCGGGGCCGTGGTCTCTGGAGTCTCTGCTAAATCCACAAAGACCTTCGTCAAAGTTCACAATTTCATCCACTGGCGTTCCTTCGTCAATGCATCTGGCCTTAAAAGTATAATAATGATTTGTCCAATGATTTGTATGGGTTATTGAGTATAGAAACGTATAGAATATTGAATATTGTGTACACGGTATACACACGCGCCGATATCATTTATGATGAGCCATTAAAGCCACTGGCTTGCGTCACTGGCAAAAAGATGGCCTGACCCATGAAATCGCTGTCAGTCATGGAGTCAAAGTCATAGACCACCAGTTGCACTTTCGCCCAGCTGTCGGAGTTGCCGAAGCCTCGATCGGCGAAAGCTCGGCGCTCAGCGCTTTCGTGAGAAGCTAGGACAACTGGAGACTTCGACGTGTTCCAGGTAGGCTGCGAACAGCACAAGCCATCACAAACCAATCAAGAAAGGTTCCTCTCCAACGTGGTGGCCTAGGGCCTAGGGAGGAACAAGCGGTTTCAAAGGAAACGAACGCAGGACTAGGCCAGGCACGGTGGCGGTAGGCTCGCGCTGCCTCCCATGCCAGCCTGAGACAGGCGGCACTGCTCTCGCCAACCGAACTTTGACCCAATAAAGACCCACTGCTGCCACTTATAACTTGTTCTCGTGAGTAATTCCCACGGAGAAGAGAGGGTAAAAAGATGCAAAAAACAGATTCAGAAAAAAACATGTTTTTGAGGTCTCTCAAAGGTCTCTTTGACTTTTTTTTATTACTTCGTGAGAAAACCACAAAAAGAGAACAAAACGCCCCGGCGATGAAAGGCGCATGCCTCTGGATTCCTCCCACATAAAGGCGCCAAAAGTCCAGGCGGTCCTGATGAGTCGATCTCGACTCCGACGGGTGCGGTTGACGAGAACACGCTGGAGAACCACACACAGGAAATCCTTCACAGTGGAGAAGCTACGACCCAGTATTTCTCTGGATTCAGCTGAAGTCTTCCATGAACATGGTATAGACTGTGAGAAGTGTTCCTGATTGTTCCTGCTTCGTGAGTCTCCTGCTGCTCCTCTGCACTGCGTGTCGAGTGCTCCTCCAGCGTATTGAGCTCCGACCTGCCAAAGGGCCATTTGAGAGGTTGTTCGACGCAAGAAGAACTGCCACCAGTGAAAAGGCTCAAGGAGACTGGACAGGTGTTCTGCTTTCGCGTCACTCGTCATGCGACAGTGTCGCTCAGCCCTTCGCTTGAGCCCAATCGGTGCAACGGTGGTGCCCTGAGATGACGGGAGTGCGACGGCCTGCCCCAATCGAAGATCTTGACCAAAACACTCTTCCGGAGGTCAGCTTCCTGCTCGGGCGAAAAGCCTTCACCGTCTTGATGTGCCTTAGCGGCCAAGTGGAAACTCCGAATCTTGTGAGGACGGGAGCCGGATAAGAAGTCTGACCAAACCCTGCAGCCATCGCAGAAGAAGCAGGACTACTACAGTACTGACTGGATATCTCGAAGTGTGCCTGCCTGCCATGCACGCACGACTGGGTGACAACTGACACAACTTGTCTTCGACCGACAAGCTAGTCTTCCAACCTTTGCGCATCCTCAAACATACCAAGGTGCAATGTTTTCGGCGAAGGCATCATCAAATCCCAAGGCTACCGAACTGCCTCTGCCAACTGCCAGGCTTTAGCCACTTTAGCTCTGAATTGATGATGTTCAAGAAGTCATGGAAGGAACGAAATAGAATGAATATGAATGAATTGAAAGAATGCATCAAGTTTATCATCAAAGGCCGGGGTGGATGGATTACATTACGTGTTTTTGTGGCCTCAAATCTGCAACGCTCCACCCGTCTCCAAACCTCTCCCAGTCTCGGCCTATCCATTTCTGGGGTGCTTGTGTGCTACAACAGGCCACTGTGAGGCCAACCAGCTTCTTGCAAATCCTCAGGTCATGGGGATGTTCGAGCAGTGTATAGTAGGTATTCAGTTACTGCAACCCAACAACCATGCTTGGCACATGGAGTTGATTCTTTGGGGATCCGCCAAACAAGGGCTGAAATCAATCCAAAGATCTCATCTAAGACCACCTCTGCCAGCTCGCTCGAGGGATGCTTCTGTGGATCATAGCTATGCAAGTCTAAGAAATGCGTCAGCATGTCAGCAGCTGGAAGTCTTTGGAGCATCAAGCGCCGTGCCTAGCACTCTGCTGAGAGCATCAACAATCCATGTGAGCCAGGTAGCAATGCCCCCTCATGTCTGAGATGCTACAAATGACGCGTTGAACTACACAAAAAAGAGTACCACGACATACCACGACAACGTTTCTGAAACATGCCATCGATCAGCCGTGCAAAGGAAACCAAGAGTATACTACCAGGAGATGACATGGGAGTAGTGAAACGTACATTCAGAAATGAATTGTCCGATCTCATGTGTCCGCAGCTGCAATCTGACGGGACGGTTTTTGACCAAACAAAAAGTGTATCTCATGTGTCCAAAGCACATGAATGAGGCCTGAAAGAACTATAAGGTCCTATCCCGAAACCAAGTCTTTCATCAAAACCAAGCTAAGCCAATACTTTCTATTATAAATTACATTAAATTACATATATTTCCCACCATCAGCATCATTCGCCTCTATCCACGTCCACAAAAACCAAACGCCCTCGACGCCTGTCAGCCTGACAGCCCCTCGACCTGCCTTTTTCTGCGTGGATTTGCTGTGGCCCTCCTCGCCACCGATATCCAGTAGAGGATCCATGGACAACAGCACCGGCGTCTGGCCATCAAAGCCCTCCAGGCGGAAGCCTTCGGCCTTTGCATCGGTACAAAATGAAGGGATGAAAACTGACAGAAAAGGTTTTTTCTGATATATCCTATTATATCATATTATGAGAATCTGTTGTTCAAACATGTTCAAATGGCGTTTGGCACAGCCCTGGATGTGGGCACGGAAGGGCATGGACACCCCTACCAGTCTTTGGACAGCCCTGATGATAGCCCTTGCTGAGAGCTGTGTACCTGGGAGTTGGTGTGCTCATCAATCAAGGCTTGTCGCAGCGCTGCCAGGCGTGACTTGCCTTTCCAGTTTGCAGCTGCCGTCCTCAGCTTCCAAAGAAGTTGCAAGTCGGGTGGAAAACCAGGTGAAACTCGAAACATCATGTCATGGGGTAACTAAAAACTGCTAAAAGCCAGAAGAGTTGGATTCCAAGCTTCTTCTCTCCCACCTTGATGTCCAAAAGCCTCAAAGACTTTCGGCCATGTCGCATGTTTTGTAAGACCAGAAGCTCCAAAGGACCCGGATCCTCCACATCTTTCTCGGTTGTTTTTAGAATGCCATCCTCAGAGCGTGGACATGAACGGACAGCCTGCCGTTGCTCATGTGTGTGTGTGCCAACGTGGTCTCAAATCACCGGTCCGGTGCGCTAAGCTATCAGGTTTGGCAAGCAGTGATGGTTCATTAGTTCGCTCTGTTCTGGGGATTCTATCGTTTCGCACTGTTGTTCTTCAGGCGTTGAAAAATAGAATTGGGTCACAATGAAATACAGAAATACATTTCTTAAGAAGCATACGATCGCCGATCACCAAAGAAACATAAAGAAACTTTAAGGTCATATAAATCATATCATATAAGATAAAACAAACACTTCCAAAAGATGCTCTCCAATTTCACGAGGGTCGTACTCGAACATGAAGTTGTACAACGCTTGCACCTCGCGACTCGAATGCTTGCTCAAGCTCTTGACCTTCTCATAAAACTGCACTTCGTCGGTCGCCCGACTCAAATCCTTGCCAATCCAGTAATCACCGAATCTCTTGCCCTCTGGCTTTGTAAGCTGAAGGCTGAAGAACGGCGCAGTACCACCAGACACTCCGAGTCTCTGCACCGGAGTCACAAACTTCTCGGTGTCCACATACGTGAGGTCAGCAACCTGCTCATCATTCTCGGGCAAGTGGATGAGAATTTGCACCTCAGCTCAGCTTGGCGTGGAAGCTGTGTGATGTTTTTCCACCTTTCATCGATTGTTTTGATACCAAAGAGTGGACAGAGCACTCTACAACCAAATAGACACTAATTAAGTGAAGTTTAGTTTCCCACAAGACCTAGGAACCAAATTGAACAGCGTGAGCTATCCTGCGGTAGTAGCGTCCTACCGCCCCTACTTAATTAGGTAGCCGCCTACTTAGCTAAGTAAGAGCGGGCTAATAGAAGAATAGAGATTTTAAAACAGAAAGCCCGTGGTCACTGCATCGCCCACAGCAACCTTTCATCTCAGGCACGACGATCCGCCCGGTGTTTTCCCCGCGCTTGTAGAGTGGAATGGGCTGTGGCTGCGTCTGCATAAAGCCCACGGAGACGGTCCTGGCACCACTGAGCAGCATGTCCACGGGCACCGTGGCATCGCCACAGAAGGTGGACTTGCCGAAGCCCAGGAAGTTCTCCTCCATCACCTCCATGGCTGCGGATGTCAGCCATGGATATCATGGTCTTCTTTTGGACAAGTCAGCTTGGAACTGCTTGTTCACATTGGATTTCAAGAACTCATCTTCCCAGAATTTAGTATGTGCTAAAGGTGACCGGTTTTCGGACAAATTCATGTCATGCTGTGCTGTTTGAGGGTGTCTTTGACTAAGGTTACTAAAGTGGCAGAATCTCAGAATGATGCTTCTAGGGGCTCCTGGCATCGCTACTAGGAGCAAGGACGCTACTAGCCCTGTTTCTTTGGCACAAGTATGTTGCTGGTACTGCATGGCGCCTGAAAGCGCAGCTTGTCACCACTGCCATTGCCAGAGTAGGCCATCATCTTACAGCTATGCTCCCACACAGGAGTCATGTGCCTCAAACACGGAGTGGGTGTTCAATTGCTAATGTATGCTATTGTAAACAAAACTGGACCAGGCATGGGAAGAGTTGGTCCATGCCGCCACATAAAGTCCTTGTTGACATCCAAGGTTCAAACAAAGCACATCACCCCAATATCTCTTCGGACCCTTACAAACCCTTGTGAACTTCGTCAATTCTCCGTAACGCATTTCATACTCACTGGTTGTTGCGTGTCCAACACCATAGCTGGACCAACAAAACCAGCATTCTAGATCTAGATCTTGTGGACTTGCTTGTACTTAGCACCAGCAGTGGCACTTGTGATTGTGTTAGTTCATTAGATACAATAAGCAGTAACAGTCAGGCCTCTAGATGTCTCTTCTGTTTGGCTCTTCTGTAACTTGTGCACAACACTCATGTGGGCATCTTGGCCTATTGCGGGTGGACGGAGCAATGCGCATACAGCATGCACTTCGACTATCCTTGAATGTGCCCTGGAGCTACCCTCAAGCATGAACCCTCCAGAATTCAACGATTGCAAGGAGCCAAGTGGCTGTCTTGCTGCAGTCTTCGTTCTGCCTATGCTCACAACACGTCCATCTTCGTAGCACCAATCGACCAGCGCAAAGGGATCCATGCGACCGAACCTCACCAGGAGAAAACCGGAGATGGAGGTGGGTGAACGAAAGATGGCTTCTAGGCATCTACAGGTTGCAAAAACGGCTGTACACGAAGAAATTTGAAAGGGGCTCATGTCCTACTAGTGTCTGTGAAGCGGTGCTTCGGACTTGTGTGTCTTCTGTGCCACATTGAGCATGCGGGGGACTGTCAAATGGAGCAGGGAGCGTCTGATCCAGGGGGGGCACTTCATGAATATCATCCTTCTGCTTCCAACTTTCCCTTGTTTGCATCACCACCGAGTTCCAGGAAGTTCCAAGTCCTTTCTTTCAAAACGTCCGTTGTGCTGCCCAGGAACTTGTCAAAGCTCCGGTAGAGCTCTGCCGAGATCACGCGCACCACGATCTGCGAGGCGCTGATCGCTTGGGGTTCATTCACCCGGCGATAGCCCACGAGCTCCACCTTCTGCGCGCAGTCGCGGGCCTAAGGATTTCCGGCGTTCATCCAGTCTAAGACAAAGGTGTGTATTGAATTGGGAGACCCAACGAGACCCCAAAATAGTAAAATAGATAAACACATAAATATAAACGTTAAGTGGAAGAAAGTCTCCGTCTCCTTTCCGGGCTGGTCGCAAGCAAACAACTCAGGCCTACTTGAACCTATTTTGATTTCTTCCAAGAGAGAACTCCACCATCTCGTACAGTCCTAGAGACAGAATGCTACCTCTGATACTGACATGGAATGCTTCCTGGCTTCCTCTTGACAATATTGTGGCATTCAAAGAAATTGAAACCGTTGCTCCACCATGTGTGGACCTTCCATTGCGTCCAGCCACATGTGGACCCTCTGGACCCTGGCAATAGGTGCAGCACGTCCGATATGCTGCGAAGGCCGGGCGCTGGCAGCCCCGTTCGCAAAGCCGGCCTTGCAATTGGCGCGTTACGGTGCGGTACAGGGAACAAAGGTGAACAGCATGGGTCGCTGACCTGGTCCTAACCTGCTAGCTTGGATGAAACCCACATGCCATGGAACACATCAAACCAAGCAACGCAAGGGCTGCAAGGGTAAAGTTTATGTCTCAACGCTTGACACGGAAACCTCTGAAACATGTGATCGAATGCTGCAAAGTATATGTATGAACAAGCACGCCTTTTTGCAAGTGGTCAAGCTGCTGTGCCATGCCGTGCACATTGTAAATCGATCTATATACTATATACTCACAGTACCAGTCTTGAATTCTCGACAGGACACATATGGATACCATCCAACAAGAGTCCCTCGAAGGTGTCAATAAGTCAAACTCTGCAAATCGTGCACTTCATGTCTCCTGCTACATGCGTCCATTGTTCCCAATGAGCTTTGCACACCCAGTGATCACCTTGGCAACGAGGTGCCTTCACAGGTGCTTTGACCTCGCGTCCCTCTTCCAAGCAAATAGTACACCTGCGATCCTCACATGTCGGGAGGTTGCCGAGCGCAATATCGCATTTCTTTGATACCGCTGAAAGCTTATCCAGGAAGACCTCATTCGGCACTTTCTGGATCTCTTCCACCATTTTTCGAACCTGTTGAAGGTGACTCTGAACCTTCTCTTCTTCAAAGGTGTAGACCTGCTTCCAAACACAGCAAAGTCCGAAGACTGCCAAACATCCGCCGATCAAACCTCCTGCTAGAACAGCCGCAGGCACAGACAATGGGGCTGAGACAACATGAAGCAGGAAGAACACTTTGATGCCCTCATAGTTGAAAAAGCTAACAACTCCACCCACAAAGGCTGCACTGCCGACGACGATGCTTGCTGCTTTTCTTGGATTTTGCTTAGCCCAAAGCTTCCACACATAAGTCTGACGTGAGAACCATCCATCTTCCACGCCCAGAATATGATAGAGGCGGACTTCAGTCGTGTCGAGTAGTTGGGCCATTTCCCTCAAGATCTGGTCAAGCTCATCTCTCGTGGGCCCAGGGGACAAGTCCTCGTACTCTTGTCGGATTGCAAGTTCCTTGAGGCAAAGGACGTTCCTCAAGTCCTTGTAGCACGCAAGGACACCCCTGATGTGTTGAATCTTGTGGTCGAGTTCGGAGAGGCTGTCTTCGTAGGCATCTTCTGAGTTCAAAACACTCTGAACATCCTCCCTGTTCAGAAATGCCAGCTCATCTTTCAGCCGAGTTTTCGCCAAATCGCAGCTCATGAGTGCTTTTTTGGAACCGCGTGAGCGGATCGTCGTTCAAAGGCAAGCACTCTCCTGCACCCTGTGCTAAAAGCCTCATTGGTCCTGACATGGCCACTGAACCTGAAAGCCCAGATGCTGCGGACTGGTTGCACCCACTTGCAGGCGTTTTCACGCAACAACTTCATGCTAATTTGCTATAGATGTGCCAGATATCTTACTACGCTCAGCATGGTTCGTGCGACCCGCCTCCAGGGGTTGATCCCACGGAGGTAGAAGAAGAAGCCATTGCTTTGGAAGCAGGTGTTTAAGAGGGGATGAATCAATGAATCGTGATGATGTTGTGTTTTTATCAGCACAGACCGAAGGGTTGGCCCAGAGCTGGCTGCTGCAGTGAAAGAAGGGAGAAGGGAGCTCTAAGGGAAGCATACCAGAGTGTCCATCAGTACGGTTTTCACAAGTATGCAAAGGCCATCCACTTTGACCATTCTCGACATCTTGTGTCAATGCCTCACCTAAACCGGCTATTTTTGCTGGCAATGACATGACCCGGACTATCCTCGTCCACTGTGCTTTGCAAATATATATATATATATATGATCCACTCTCACTGCGCCAGCATAGCGCATTCTTTTT